CCGCTGAACCAGCGGTGCGGCCCGCGGCTGCCGTTTTCCGTGCCGCGTCGTTCTTTCGACGACGCTTTCTTTACCTCCTCCCCTTTGCCGTCCGATCGCCCGTTGTGCAGGCAGGCGCCCCTAAGAAGGTGCATGCGTTTCCGCCCGAGAGAAGCTTGTTTTGCTGCCTGCAGGTTTCAATTTCAGGATGGTCTCCGCCATAAGTAGTGAAGTTCTTTGTGTTTTTTTGCCTCACCTCGTGCTTATTACCAGCCTGCTTGTTGTGTGCTAAATCGATTACCTTCATCAGATCGCATCCCTGTGAGTCCTTCGTCTTCTAACGTCTCTTCTGCCACGTTTCCAGCTCGCGACGTGCCTAACCCCCGAAAACATCCTCAACAAACGCAATGAGAACGTAAGAGCAGAGCTGTCGGACGTTCCTGTCTGGAAGAGCATTGTCGGAAGGGATGTAGAAGTAACCTAGAAAGACCCCTGCAATTCCAGAGGATGTCACATGAATAGAAACAACATCTCGGTGCCTAAAAACGTATTTTATCACAACGATATGCAGGTGTGAAAACAAAATGGTAAGGGACAAAGCTTAAATGTCTGGAAAAGGTCAGTGAAGTAATTAGCTGCTGGTCTTCAAGCGCCTAGCACCTGTGGTCTCAGCACTGCGATGTTGCATCCACTTCTCTTTACAGCCCATAAAACTGAACGTGCGTCGCTGGTCTTCCTGTATGTATCGAGATCGGCACGTTCTGAGCACAGAGACCTGAAACGTGCTATAGTTAAAATAAGCTGCACGGAAAGAAAAAAGCGCTTTTAAAAAGATGCCAGGAGCAACCACCTAAAATGCTTTTAACAGCGGACATCTGTGTTCACGGAGCATTACCACTCCTTGCCCTGCTTGGTTAGTGCCTGCTTTGTTATGGTGCTTTCGATGAAGAGGGGAAAAAACCCCACTGCTGGAGGTAGCGGCCACATGCCGACCTTTCACTGAAAATACCACGGAAGGAGAGATGGAGCAAAAGTCTGTTATTGCTCCATGGGAATCCAGCATCACAGGGGAATAAGAGTGACACTAAAACGGGCTGTGCTGTCACGAGACCTTGTTTGCCAGGGCCAGACAAGAACGGGCTGTTATAAAAC